CCAACGATACCGATCTTTTCGCCGCCCCTTATCTCACACGTGATGTCTTTGAGCACCGGTTTGTCGGGTGCGCTGTCGTAGATGAGCGACATGTGGTCTAAGACAATACCCCCGGTCTGTGGCCACTGAGGGCGGGGTGTGTTGTCTTGAGTGGACAGTAGGTCCGCCTCTTGCGGTAGTTTTGTGTACTCAATGATGCGCTCGACTGAAGTCATCTGACTCTCCAACTCTGCCGACTGTCTCACACCGAACTGTGTCTGACCCGTCAGCATAAGGGCTGGTATGCAAAACAATCATGATGATGGTTAAAAAGTACCGTATAATTAAATATAATTAATTAAAGTTTATAGAACTTAATTATAATAAATTGTACCTGATGCAAATGCCAGGCCAGCGTGACCACTGGAGATGCCTAAATGTTTTGTATAAACGTGCAAACTTATTAGTTTTAACTTGTATTTTAGCCTGGCGCTAAATAATGTAAATAATGGTAATCACCATGGTGGAATGACATTATGACGGCGGCCACGGCGGCTAAATAGATGACACACAACCAATCGGCAATTAGTCCCAGCGTACGCGACGCGCCCAGCAATACAAACCAGGTGGCACTATGGTCGTTTTGGTAGGTGTAATACTGGTTACGAAATGCCTGTTGAGCGCCATAAGCCCTGATACTGGCCAACCCGTTAAGGGTAGTGCTCACGTGCGAATACACTGGACTACGCGCTGTATGTATAAAAATAATAAATAAATTATGATCATGAATAAATATTGTATTGCTTACTTAATTCTTATTAAGTAATTCGTATTACTTACCAGATTCAAATCGAATGACGTGGATGGTAACATCTCGTCAATAATACCCAGATCCTTCGTAAATCGATTTAGTATACGACCTAAAACAATAAAGGGTGAACAATAACTCGTCATGTTAACTAAATTTTAAGCTAGTTTATTTTTTCATTTAATTAATTTCAATACCGATAGGATTGTTATCAAACACAGCCATCGGTGCCCTCAATAGCCGTATGAATATAGTGTTGTGCAGACGTTTGGAGGCAATCATACAAATGGCAAACCAAGTCGTCGACCGGACCATTGTTGACAGCAATAGGGCCACAATTAGTATCGCGTAAATGATCAGGGCGAAATTATTTTTCTCTTTAGTTTGCGTTTTCTCATGGTTGGTCCTATGGGTTTATTAATAATAATAATATTATTAATCATCGCACATGATCATTTAAATTGTTATAT